TCAATACCTTAACGTACACATGTGTCTATAGCTATGTCACCTTGAGCAGAGATCCTGACAGGTGCTTCAGAAGCTAAATGGAACTGGATCTTGTTGATATTTGGAGGAGCACTTCGCAAAGTCTTTAGGCGACCAGGATGTTGGATGAGTCCTTATTCCCTCACCTATAAATTCAGTCTGTTTCAACATATTTTGACATGATTTATTTTCCATGCTATGCATTGAGGAACTATTTATTCTTTAGAGCTACCAGGTAGTCCTTCTTAAGACAAATCTGTATCTCTTCATTTAATTTAATTGGTTGACTTTGGATGGTTTTTTTACTTCAAGCCTGTCTGGGTGAATGCCTGAGTGAAGCATTAAATTGAGTTCTTCCATTTCACAAAAAGATAGAAAAGACAGAGAGACCCATAGAAAGGTCTTGGAAATATAGAAGTACAAAAAGACTCCCTAACCTTTCTAACTCTTTTCAGATGGTATAATTTAGATTTATAGTGCAAATTTAAATTATGGTACAGTTTACTTTTAAAGAAGAGATTAACAACCATGGGCACTCCTAAGTTGTGCAAAACAATGAGATAGTACAAACAGGCTTTTTGAACCTTCCTTGTTTGCCCTTTAAGGACAAAGAGACATTCACTGTCTTTGAAAGGAAATAGGTTTGAAGTTGGTCAAAGAGAATAGAGTTTTGCAGAGAATATAGTTAGACCACGAAACTCGGTGTCACAAGACCCTGTTCAGGAGAAAAGCAAAGTTTAGAAGTAAGATACTAAATGTATGTAATTTTGTTATGTTTGCTGAGATGAGCGTTTAAAATTAAATACAGAGACTATAAGAAAATTTTCCTGTTGAAGGTTGCACTCTAAATGTCGATCCTTAGAGTTTTGTGATGTGCTGCAGCTGGTTAAAAAGAAGAAAGTGTCCAGAGCAGAACAGATTTAATCTGTTGCAATTTTTTTTCTAAACAGCATTCAGTGATCCAGAGAAAGCTTTAGAAAGAGTCCTGGTGTAGAGAAAGGAATTTTCTTTAGAAAGAAATTTCTGTATATATTGTGAGAATGTGATAATTGTTCCTGGAAGCATCTTTCAAAAAAATTTCAAAATAATTCCAATTAAATATTGTAATTTTTTACACTACATTGAATAGTAAAAGGATTTTTAAAAAATATGGTATTTATAATCAATGTCACAAAGTTAAAAAAACAAGCTGGGGATCCTAAAACATTTACGTCAGAGATAGAAAAGAAAATAAAATTTTAAGGGGAAAATGCCATATGTTGGTTTTACTCTTTTCACAAAAGTTCACATATTTTATCTTTGATTGGGTTTTACATTACAGTGTACGGGCCACTAGTGTTGGAAGCAAATCACAATAATTACAGGAGTCAGATATATTTTTGTTAGCTACACTAACTAAAGTGCACTTCAAATTTTCATGTATTTAGTGGTCTGACTACAGAACTTCCTAACCATTTTTATTTCTCAACTCTAGTGGAAGTAGCTGCAATTAGCAGACTGACTGAAATTTCTAAACAAATGCATCTTCCCTAATTAACATGTTTCCAAGTACTTTTCTAGGCGATAATGAAGAGTGAAATCATGACAAAAGCCCCATTGAAGTCATTGGGACAAGAAGTTCACACCAAGTCAAGTGTGTAAAGAATTTTCTTTTTTTTTTCTCAGGAGGAACAATCGATTTTAATTAAAGCAAGTAAAATTTTAAAATGCACTCGAATTTCTCAAGAGTCCAAATTCTGCCTGAAGTCAGTTCTGTTTGGGTTCTGGAGTAATTTGGTTACTTCTAAAAAGTTCACTTATATTCACAGGTTAATATTCCTAGGACTCAAAAAAGCAAACAATTTAGGAAACACCGAGAATTCATGTTTGTGTTTGTTTTTATTGGCCAAATTAAGCCATGTGTCTAGCAGAAACTGTCTGCAAGTCCCCTCCTTCAACTTTCATGGGCTACTGTCATACCTGGAGAGCAGTGGGAGCATTCATGTGGAAGTTCATTGCGTTGGCGTCCTTCAACTAGTGACAAGTTAGCAAATTCAGGAGTGGGATTTGCCTGAAATACAAATTTTGTACCGTTATTTCTGTAAATGCCATCCATCACCTTGCAGACCATGAATTGCTTAGGCTATGTGTGTTGCCAGATTTGGGTACTTGGAGTAATACAGTCAGATCACTGCCAGATACTGATTTTATTGACACCAGTGGTGTTACCATCCCAAAGGAGCTGCAGAAAAACTCTTGCTTTTACACATGATGCTGTGGCTTGTGTTTGTGCAGATATAGTTATATTCATTGGGAAACATGGGTGTATTTGTGACATTTCTCTGTTGGCATTTGTCTGTTGGTATTTGACATTTGAGTATGTATTCTTTGACATTTAAATTTCAGTGCAATACTTTTATCTATACTGCTGAAATAAAAGCTGCCATTCCTCTGAATAACCATCCAACAAACAAATGAACAAAAGGGAGTTGATAGCTCAGAGCAGTACTGTCTTATATCTTAGTGGTGTAAAAAACAGTACTGCAGAAATAAAGTGGTTTTCATATTTCTTTTAGTGCTCAATGTAATTCAGAATGGGCTCATCCTCAAATGCTCTGTGCTACACCTTTTGAAGTTTAGAGGACTTTCTTCCTGTTCCCACACTGGTTTTCTTACCACGTGTGGACATTTGGAGATCGTGGTGCATTTTGTTCTGCCTCCATATCCCTGTTAGCATGCACCCACCTCCTGTGCGTTTCTCTTTTCTTCTGAAGATGGTTTCTGTCATTTCCTCCCAGTGGAGGAATGAGTTGACACGCCAGGCTCTCGCACCTCTTCCTCTCTGCACCAGGATGTCCATGTCAAGGCTTTCTTTGCATTCAGGACACCTAGGGATGCCTCGGAGTAAGGGTAGAACCGTGGGCATGCAGGAAAACAGATACTCTGGGTGGGGCACCTGGGTAACCCAGGATGCTTCAAGCTCTCCGCATTTGTCCGGTAGGATTGTAGGGCTCTGTCCTAAATTATTTTAATTTGATGACTTTAAGGAGGAAATGTTACCTATTTTAATCCAAGGGATATCTGTAGTGCAAAGCATTTCATATGAATGTGACTGAAGGCCTTTGGCTATAATGCCTGACAGATGTGTTGTTCCTCTCTCCTTCTGCCAGTGCAAATGGCAGGATCTTCCCTCTGGAGTCAATGCATGCAGATTTTTATTTCACAGATTATTAAGGGTTACGTGGAACACTCTATAGTTGTGTTATTTGTTCAGAGGTGGGCAAATTGTATTGCATTTTTTGTTTTCATTCTAGTAAAGTAATTGCTACTTCCACTTCATCTGAAAACGGTTGTTGATTACAATAGTGGCATTGCTTTATTATGCTGTATATCATTTTTTCTTATATTTGCATCGTGAAGCAACATATGTTCCAAGTGTATATTTTGATCTTGGGGAAGTTGCTGTCTTTTCTTATAAAGTTAAAACTTATTTTTTGCATCTTTTATCTCTTATTCCCTTTTGCTTCATTAGGTAAGAAGAGAAGTTACACAGCTCTGCTGACACTTATTAACTAACACTATTTAGTACCAAGAGTGGACAAAGTATTTTCTTCTTGGTTAGCTACTGGAGGTAAATGATGGGTTTACCTGTTCCCTTTGTGATCGTTATCAAAAGTAGAGCTCTGTAATGTGATTTTAAAAATGTATATATATCAGCACCTGGTACTTTAAACTGTGATCTGTTTCAGCTGTTTCTAAAGGCTGACATGCAATTTATGATGTGACCGAAAGATATACCTTCCATTTACAGAGACATGGTATATTTTCTAGTGAGTTGAAAAGA